TCCCTACACTAACCGACTTGATTGGCATTTGTAAATGACAAGGATGTGAAATGTAATGTAATAATCGAATGTTCTTCATTCTCAATTTCAGGTTAAAAATACACCAAATTTTTGTCTCTAATAATCGCAAAAAGTTTCAAATAATTTGGTAAAACTGTTAATGAAAACTATAATTTACAAGTACGTTTATCGTTATCCGGGCAAAATAAAACCAATGAAAAGGAATGTTTTATGACATTGATTGATTAATTAAAAAATGTGTAACACAAAAACCAAAGTTTGAAGAGGCTCTCATAATACTAAATCGAAAGGTAAAAATTGAATATGTTACATTTCAAATACCTCGAAAGTTTACTTTAATATTGTTAGGCACACAATGGTGGACGTAAAGGAAATTCAAAAAGGTGGAAGTATAGAAGTGTTGACAGGGATTATAGCATACTTAAAGCCAAATGTTCCGCATACACATATATGCTACTCCATTTTCAGTGGTACTTCTTTTGATATCCTTATCAGTATGGCTTTGTATATGTCGATGGGGATTTCGATATAACCTGAAAGATCGAGAAGTAATTTTTTCTATTATACATTAATATTTAATATATTAGTAACTCTTATTATTAATCGCGATAATTCAAGGGTTTTTCTACTTTACTATTTAGATAAAGAAGTAACATTTAAATTTTTAGAATTAAGAAATTTGTGTATATAGTGATGCGTTGCGTCTACTTTCTTCCGTGTTGAGCGTGCTAAGAAAACTGTTGGTGTGCATTTTCATTTGTCGAGAAATATCCTGAAACCAACAGTTAAAACTAATTTTTATTTTAAAAAGGACGAAAATATTCGAAATAACATTTAAAAATTTGTATCCTGTAATCCTATCTGAAAACCAAAACAATTGGAGGCGGACACCTAGGACACTCTCCTTGTAAGATAAAATTTTGGAGGCTTACCAAGCGGCACATCCGGGCCACGAACGGACGATCGACGGGAAGAGCGCGCGTTTGATTGGCTCTCGTTTATTGCATCATTCCTGGAAATTTGGCCCTCTACAGCCCCGGAAGATGCAAATAACGAATGCTTACTGTAGTCAGTTAAAATTTTTAATCGCCAATGTTTCCTTGGGATTCCTCTAACAAGGGAAGGCACGGAAGTGTCCCCCTTCGATTTTGATGAAACTTCGTATATCTGTTCAGCAGTCAAAAATAAGAGATACGTATTTTTTGGTATCGGCTGAGGCGTGACTTTAAGGGGTGAAATAACCCCTCGAAGTTTCGCTCCGAAACTTTTTTGTTATAAACAAATTATATTTTGGACAATTTGTTAGCACCATATTATTCTACATAAAAAACCACAAACCTCGTCCATCAGAAGTTTTCATGTATCTCTTCTGGTTTTCGAGATAGTACTTTTAGGCCGAAACTTCGAGGGGTGGTTTCACACCTTAAAATCGCGTCTCAGCCGACAAAAAAAAATACGTATCCCTTATTTTCGACTGCTTAACAAACATAAGAAATTTCATCAAATTCGGAGGGGGAGACTTCCGTGCCTTTCCTTGTAAGAGAGCTTCGATCTTTCGCGCGAGTGTGGACGAGTCAGATTTCTCGGTTCTTCCGCGCCAATGTTCAATTTTGAGGCAGAAGAAGCACGACGCAAAATGTTTCATAACAACTTTCAAATAATTTTTTAAACATCAACGTTTTCAACCTTCCAAAGTATAAAAGCCCCTGAAACTTAAATTTTTATACATATTTCAACATAGCAGGTTGTCAAATATAGGTTGGCAACCAGCATAATATATTCTACTAATTTTTTGTATATGTTTAGATACTTTCCTGTCTGATTCTTTACTTCCTCGTTATTACTTTGTTGAATATGTTTTTCTTGGGTCACATAAAATTTCATTGCAATCAATCGCAAGGAAGGAAGAACTAATTGTAAATTGCAGCAAACAAATGCACTAAATTATTACAGGTATGTTCGTTATTATTTTCTTTCCATACAATTCTTACTGTTGTGACTTTCGGGTGTAAGCAGTGTCCACTTGGAAGAAGTATTCCAACGTTTCGTATGCATTGCAACTATACCGGGTGTCCCAAAAATGTCCTCCGACCCGAAAATGGGGCACTCGGGGGGTGAAATGGAACAACTTTTTCCTTAGCAACAATGTAATCTGAGGCTTCGTTACCGAGATATTAACGAAAAACCGCGACCAATCATAGATGATTTTTGGAACCCTTTGGGTTTTTCACTGTATCAACAAAAAATTAAAAAATTTATCAAAAGGTATAATTTCCAAAACTAATCGTCGAAATTTAAATTTCTAAAAAAATTATATGGATTCAAATGTTGGATGTTTTAATTCAAAGAATAGGTGCCACGAAAAGTATACGCACAACTCGTTGAAAAATTAAGTTTTAAGTTTTTATGTAAAACAACTTAACAAAATTTTTCTTTGCGATTCTTTGTTTCTTAATGTCCAAGAATTATATTGAAATAGTTTTAAAAAATCAACATGCGAAATTGTAATTTTCGTCCATGTCGTAGTTCTTATACAGTTCATCCCACGGCGCGCTGTGATCTATACACCGCATATCTTTCCTCTCTCTCTAAACAGCCCCCAGCCCACAGTTCCCACTCCAGTTACGATACAGCTAAATGTTCCATCCGTAGCTTAGAACATATACTACTGGAAGGCGCATGGAGAGCCCGAAACGGAATCCAAATTGTGCGAGCAAGTGAGAGCCGGAAATGGTATATTGTAACGTCTCTCCGGTTGTAATGTTATCCCAGATCGTACGTTACCTTTGAATTCTTGACCTTCCTTCCACCCGAAGGCATTAAAGTTTCTGTGGTAGCGCCAAAAACACTGTCACAATCGTTCCCATTTAAATGTCCACCCCCTGACAGTAGCCCGCGGGCCACATCGGGTGCGTTCGTACCGGCTTGCTCTTTTGGGCGTAGGAGAATGACCCCTTTCATAACAGGAAAGCAGACGAAATCGAGGCAAGAAACCGTGTGGGCATGCAAAAATGTTATCCGAGGCTTTTTTAACTAGATATTAACACTCTGTCGACAGATTCGCGCTCTGATTGGTAGGGGTTTTTCGTTAATAGCTCGTTAACAAAAGGCATCAGATTGTGTGAAGCAATTCGGGAACAAAGGAGAAAAAACGGTTTAGATGACGAACAAGAGATGTGCGTTTCGTCTCGGAACCACCAGCCAGACTATCAGTAGTGCTACAGCTGGTAGCAACTACCCTAGACGTGTGGAATGAGATGGCTTTTTGGAACTTATATTTATATTAACAAAGTTAGAAACGCGTACTTGTGAGAAACGCCACGCGACGAAGAACCTCTGTTGAGTGCCGGGCGAATTACCCGCGGATCCACACGTCAGGTGACGTGAAAGCGTGTCATGTTTTGCGACGTGTGGATCCGCCGTAGTTCGTTCATGGTTCGTCCGGCACGGGACAGAGGTTTTCGTAGTCGTCGCGTTTCTGCGTCGTACAGTTTGCGCAGTCTATTATATATGTCTATGAGTCAAAGGCAGGGCCAGAGCGTTTCGAACGTTTGAGTTAGGACGAGTTTTGTTGAGGAAGGTACATTACAAAATTCTGTAAATGTAATATTTATATTTGTTTGAACAATAAGTTCGAAAAGTTATTTGAAATTCCTAACATGTTCTCGAAATATACCTAACCTAAAAATATTTCCTTTAACCTAAAATTTAAAATGAATATACATTATACTATGAAGTTTAGTAGACCAGAAATAGAAATTGAATGAATTTAAAATTATTTATTATATTCGACTTATTTATGGGTGAATATAAAATAATGATTGAATGTAAAGTCATATATAGATCATTATGTGGTTATAACATAACAGCATAAAGTTTTACTGTTGTCATGGTAACATTATCAGCTTGACACAAACCTGGTACAATCCACCAAGATCCACCTGACTTAAGTATATTAGTCTACTTCTATGAACGTTTGTGTTATTTTGAAAGAAACAACTGCAAATAATTATATAATAGAATTACAAATGCATTGACTGAAATTGTGTTTGAACAGTCTAAGATGTCATGTTTAGATTCACTAATTGATTAGTGCAATTCATGTATTTGTGCTAACTCACATTTCAAGCATCTATTATGAAAGTAAATAAAAAATAACTAACACTTACTATTCTTCTATGTTGTTTTGATTTGTTAAAGATCAGTTTGTATTAAGTTTGTAATGTTAGTGTGGTAGCAATAAAATTTTTAATTGTTATAACTAAATATTAAAAATGAGTTCAATGTTTGTATGACTTGATACTCAGAATAACTTACCCAATAATTTGTTAACCGTTGGAGTGCTGTGGACGCATATATGTGTCCAGCGAAAGCTATCTGTGTGGACTAACGACGCATATATGCGTTCAGCGAAAGCTATCTCTGTGTGGCACAAGGACGTATATATGCGTTCAGCGAAAGCTATCTGTGTGGACCAAGGACGCATATGTGCGTATGCAATCAACATAGTTCACATTAGCAACAAATGTATTCCGTGCCCAACGATCGCAACCGCTAGACGCGTGCCGTCCACGCGGATTGTTTCCGCCAGGAGTATTCACCACTCAAAGGGTTAAAGTATTTAAAATTCATTCTGAAACACTTTGTTTATTTGAACCTAATGCATTTTTAAGAAATAATTATTAAATATTACTCTGCAGTTTGTGCTACTTGACTTTTGATTAGCTTCTCCTTTGGTTAACAAAATTTGAAGTATTTGCATGCTAAAAATCTTAAATGTAGTATAATTAATGTAAAATAGTGTGATTTATAAATTTCATACAACAGTAATAAAAATGTAATAAAAAGTATGAACTATAAAGATTTAACAATTATGATAATGAGTATATTTTCTTTCAGATGGGTATACCACGACATGCTCAGTTCATTGCCCGAACTGTAATGGTCCAAAATAATGACGTAGAAAAAGCTTGTAGATTATTGAATAACATATTGGGCAGAGAACAAATTTTTGAACAATTCAGACGCACTAGATACTATGAGAAACCCACACAGACAAGACGTAGGGTAAATTATGAAAAATGTAAGGCTATTTATGACGAGGATATGAATAGAAAAATTAAATTCATTTTAAGAACAAACAGAGAAGATCCATATCCTGGATGCTCTTAAATTAGACCTTATTAAGTTTTTGTTGATATTTGCTTCATGTCAAATTGTTATCTGCAATTCCATATGTATGCAAATAATATTGTAATGAATTTATAGTTTTACAGATAATTCTGTACAAAAGATGGGTAAAATAAAGTATGATCTATGATATATATTTCTAGTAGTAAAATATTAGAAATTAATGATCAGTGTTAAGATTTCCAATCACATTGCTTTGCAGTTACAATATTAATGTTTATAATGTGTAACTATGTGAGCAGAACTTGAGGATGTTTATACATTCATAGCGCAGCACATAATAAAATGTGACGAAATCAACTATTTTTCTTTCAACAAAGTAACATTCTAGATAGAAACAATAAATATCCGTTTAATTTCAGTCTTTATAATTTAGTCTATGAAATAATAATGTCACATAACATCCACAGTTTAGTGATTTTCATTCAACGTGAACAGAAGTGTATTTGTAAGAAAGTGGGTTTGAAAGACAGTTTTAATAGTTTGACGTTAATGCTGCTAACACAGTTATACTAGACAATCGTGACATTGAACATGATAATATTAATTTTTATTTGTCGTGAAATCTTGGGCTGGTTGGCCTTAGTGCTTAACGACCTCTCACGCCCAATTAACTTTGTCTGAGTAGGTGGATACATAGGAAAAATACTTTGTGTGAACAAATAACTTTCTTTAAATAATCAAGTGTTAACGAGTGTAAGGAAAATAAAATGTACGCACGATATTAAAATCTTATTTATTCAAGAGACAGAAAATAATAACTTTCACGAATTAAATCTGTTGCAAGTAGGATATACGTTTTTACAGAATGATTAATCATTAAAATAAAACATAAATAATACATTCATCATATTTTATTCACAGAAATATAGAGATACAGTGTATACATTTTTTCAGTGTTTTAAATTCTTTCAACGATATTTCCTTTCTTTTTTTCGTTGCTATTAATGATTACGTTTAATCGTTAGTTTACACTATGTATTAGCAAAAGATTCTATCATGGCTTTGAAAAAGAGATAAATTGTAAAATCATCATTATTTTCCATTTCGTAGTTTTAAAAATTATTTCTTAAAGTTAACAAAGCATATGTTCTTTTATGTTATTTCTATTTTTGATGTTCAAAGTTTTAAAAAAATGAAAATACGATAATTTACGAGAAAGTCACATATCGCGCCAAACGTGGATTCACGCCAATAAATTTGTCTTAATACATTAGTACTATGTATAATTCTTTCGAAAAGAAACTTTAAAATGTAATAGACATATTTTTAACTATAAACAATAATAGTAATAATAGTAAAACATAATATCCGATTCATGAACTAAATTATATTAAGGCGGCGTATATTGAAGTACAATTGAATTCCAGATATCTTACCACAATTACATGGGTATGTACTCAAGCAGTTTATCTTCCAACTAGTTAAACGATCTCCTTTTAATTAAATTCGTGAATATTTCCACATTCCGCTGTCCCTTATGAATATCTCTAGAAAATTACATTTTCGTAAGGATCAACTTGTAATTGAAAGCATGTAAACATGTATAGAAAATCAGATTCAATTACCCGAAGATTTGTTCTGAATCCATTACTCGCTGTTTACATTTCACTTAAGTAAAGTAAGTATTTCTCGAAGCGTCCTATATTAGGATGAAGTATTTCACGAGAACTAGGCCACATCTCACGATGAAGAAGCTTCATTCGTCCTCTGTCGTTCATTTAATCTTCTTTGTACATTGTTGTTCTTTCCTCTACAAAATGTTTTTGCAAAAATAAAAATAGTGAATGGAAAAGACTGCTGGCGAGCCATCATTTCGTTAGACAGAATTTCAATAATAGTTACCTAATATTGCCATCTTATGTTTTTTTCACATTAGTAACATGTTTTATGTCACTGATTGTGAGTATGAAGTATCAAATTGATGACCTGATATATTTGGTTATCATTTATAAATAAATATTATTTGCAATAGTCACAATCTGCACGTTAAATAGACCTTGCTCTACAGAGTGTTAATAAAAATGTAGTACACATTCACAGGGTGAACTCTATACGCCAAACTAAAACTAAAATCAAGAATGACGAACTTGTGTTCGAGTCTCAGTTTTCGAGTTGTATGAAATACGTCTGGCGCGATGGGTTATGTTACTTGAGAACTTGATTCTCAGCTGATACACAGAATCGATCGATGACCTAGTTAAATTTATGAATTAAATCAAATTAAATGAATACTACCAACTCGTGGAACAATTGAAAGGTGTGTTTCTCAAGTAAAGTAGCCTATCGTCTCAGACATATTTTTCGCAATTTCTCCTGTATTTTCAATAAATAATAACTTGAAAATAAAACCTCGAACGCATTTTTGTCATTCTTGATTTTCATGTTACAATTGTGCATGTAGAATCCACCTTGTGCAAGTGTCCCACATTTTTATTAGCAGCCTGTATATTGTAAGAAAAGTTACGAATAATCTCAGAAAATACACTCATGAATTTTAATCATTTTTTTAACGGTCGGCCGACGCTGCTGGGTAAATGTTAACCCATACTCTGATTTGACTAACGTTACGGCTATAATGGATGCGTTTTCTGATGAATAAGTCCATAACACGCTTGTCACGTTTGGCAGATGAATATTTTGGCTTTATTCGTCAGAAAACGCATCTGCCGTAGCTGTGGCCTAATACATTGTTGGCCTCTTGGGTAAAGAGCAGAGAGTATGGATATGCTTGTGTTGCACAGGAACAAAAAAAAGCGATCAGGCGTTCAACGATTAGCTACAACGCAAACAGTTTTAGTTCGGACATCGAGCATAGCATATCGATCATTTTGAAGTGTCATAGATAGAAGCAATGATATATTATTTATGTAATTTTATTTTTGTCCGTGTATTATAAATACGTAAGCAAATATATAGTATAATTGCATTTGTACTGGGTATTTTTTTAGAATACTTTTTTATATTAGGAAGTAAATTGTAAATAAATACTTCTTAAATATGTCTAGTTTAATGTAAAGATGATAAAATCTTCTATAGCTTATTCTGTAATGTCTGAGTACTTAAACAAATTCAGTATAAATCAAAAGTAACGTAGCGCCGCCTTCCGGCTTGCCGTCTGACCGTCCGCTGTCCGACTGTTCAAAGTTTACGAATCAGTGATTTTGATTGCTCCAGTTGTCTAGTGTAAAACAGGCAACTACGTTTTTCCTTGTAGAAGTTACAGACGAGTTATTAATTAAACCGTGCTCCGCTACAAAATGCATCCCTGCCACGCATTGTTTGGTGATTCTTTTTAAAATAACATGTAGATATTGTGCGCTTTAATATTGAACGATAAATGCATTCATATATATAAAAATATCATTACAATAACCCATATTCTACTCGACATGATATTACAAAGTAGGTTTATAAAATTAAGTATAAGAAAACAAATTATTAGGGACCCGTTATGCGAATGCGTATATAACCGTCAGGACAAATTACATAGTTTTGCAGTGCAATTTTTTTTTATTTTCAACGATCTAAGTTAATTTATCAACTGCGTAAAATTAAACTTCATCTTTCTTTAAGTATACAAATGTTAGTTGCCCAACCCAAAATGAACGCTTGTTTTTTCATTTATAATTTAAAGAAAAGCTTTTCGGGTCAAATACCCCACTGTGCGGCGCCCAACATAGACAAAGTAGAGTCGTGGTACGACTTGAGAAGGAGAAGAATGTGTCAAAGATAAGTACTCCTCCTCTTGAAATAAATAATTCTTTTTTTTATAAAAACCTTGTCCTTTCATTATTGAAGATTATGCCGCGCCCACGCAACAATATTTTGTCAGGGGAATGTTTCTGAACAACTTTTTCCGTAGGCATAATCGACGGAGTGCCCTAGTCTCCGAGATATTCTCAAAAAACTGTCGGTACCACTACAGTGAATCCTGCGTATAATCTTGCATACGTAACAGCGTTATGCGATTGCGACGACCGTATCTTCTTCTAGGAAACTGCAGTAAACCTTGCACGCAACATGGACGTGCAACGCCGCAAGTACGGTTTAACAAATGTGCATTGCTTAATTCAATCTACAATATGCGTTCCGTTCTTCATTCATATTCTTCCTCGTTTTACAGTACATGTTATGCTTTTACCCCATCTTTCCTTTTCATCTTTAGTACTTATAAACAGTTTAGACTTCACAAATAATAAAAAAATATACTCCATCTACGTTAAAGATGTTTGGGTAATAGTATTTAATACAAAACGAGGTGTTGTAACAAATCTTTGCCATTGCCATGCCTTTGTCATGATTGAAAATATAGGATTTCAAAACCTATTACAGCAATACAATTTTTGATGGCACGTATACCAAGATCCGAAGTGAATCGAAACGTATTCACCAATGCATTATTGGACCAATATGGCAAACAGCGATTCCTAACGGTGACGCGATAAGAAGATTTTCCCTGTAAGTAGATTATGATTGCCACGGAAACGCGAGTAAGCTGTACTGACTTGTACAGAAACTCGCAACAACAATTACGACAGTCATACAGAGTGTTATAAAAATAAATTATTAACTATCACAAATGGGCTCTCATATCAAAAAGAAGAAATAAATAAACATATTTTTCATAAACAGACAAGAAACAATTGCTATATAAATATGAATAGTTCAATGAAATACGCATTTGACGTTATAAATTATTATTGATCGTTGTTGTCTCCTATGTTTAGAGGAAGGTAGAAAACAACAAAAGAATGTAGGTATACATATAGTGAACATCAAGCTATACATACAGAAACAGCGGTCATAAAATGTATAAACGATGGGTCATTTACATCGATCCTCCCCAATATCTTCGAAAGCGTCGATGATATCGAAAAATATTTCAAATAAAAGTTGAATGGTTTCAAGGGGGAAATAATCTGATGTGAATCGTTTTTTGTATGTGGTCAAAAATCCGTAGACAACTAATAAATTTTTCTACATTATAGTGTTTTTGAACCGACTTCCTAGAGAATGGAACCTCATTTACCAACCGTAATATTTATATAAAGGTTTAACCATTGTTATAATATTACATATTTTTCACGGTAAAATAAACGGAAATTAATCCTTTGTGTAACATTTTCTGCAATA